TTTAGAAGCTCTAGCACGGAATTAAAAGGTGATAGAACCTTCCACTTAGGCTTAAATTAAAGCTAGAACTACGGACTACTATCCCTCAAAATACTATTCCTGCACCTTTCCCTGATGGTCACCTATACTGGAAACTTATGCAATTGAAAAAAACGTGTAAAAATCACTTTTAGCTGTTCAACAAATGACTATAGGTGACCTTAGGGTCAAGGTGCAGGAATGGTATTTTTAGGGATTGACGTCAGAAGTCCTAGCCTTAATCTAAGCCTAAGTGGAAGGTTCTACCACCCTTTTCGTAATTGCGGTAGGTACTCAAACTTCCCAAAATCAGTGTTTCCTATTCAACAAATGACTATAAGTGACCATGAAGCAAAGGTGCAGGAATTTTGCAGGGATAGTAGTCGAGATCACAATTGCTTACTCACCGCTGTCGGTACCATAAGCCATCAAATCCGTTTTGTTGTTCCATTCCATGAGCTCAATATGCTTTGAAATTTTGAGGCAAATGAACGCAAATTTTCAACATATCGCTAATTTAGTATGGATAGCGCGTATTTCACATTGTCGCTGAAATGCATAAAAACCACAACTAACTAAAATAATTTATTGTATAAAACGATGTGGGGACTTACATATAATATGATTCAATGAAATGCTTTAGAATCAATCATAAAGTGAACTTTGGATTTTTAGTTAGTTACGGCATTATGTATTTCAGCGACGATGTGAGTTACTCCCTTTCCATACTATACTAACGATGTATTGCATTCTAAGTCCAACTCCTGTTTAGATATTAATTTCGCCTTGAATTGATTCTTATTTGATTTGTGAACTTGGCTGTCAACTTTCTCACATCCGAATGTTGACAATGGATAAGTTTAGAACTACAAAAATTACAAAAAAAAATATTGGCTACAATTTGTCATTTTGTTTGCCGAAAATACGTTTTATCAGTGCACTTTCACAATATTCGCATTCGCAAAAGCATCCGCGAATGCGAATGTTAAAATTAATGCGGAAGCTCCGCGGTTGCGAATATTCGAAACAACCCTGGTACATACATACATATGTACATGACAACATCTGTAGACATTTGTGCGTGTGCAAATGCAAAAAAATGTAAAATTTTGAAGCCACTAAAGCAGTCATAATTTTTGCAACATTGTTAGTTTTCGGCTTCGAAAAGCAAAACATTAATATTTTGACGTGCATCGAAAAGCAATTCGGAAAGCTCGTAAAAATGAAAAATGCTATTACTATTTACATAGTTGCATATTTAAATGCCTTATTGGATGATTCACAGTTATGTATTGACCTCTATGGGCCAACCCTTATATGTCCTGTTTGCATTTGTTTGTTATGCACTACAAGAAGGATATTAGTTGGTAGAAAATGTGTTGAACGCAAATTATATTTTGGTTCATGGACCCTGCTGGAAATGTATCTAACGTTCATTTAACTTGAAGTTGATTAGGATGGTACTCAAGGTCGGTATTATCTGTATAATTTCTTTGAGGAAAGCTAACTATACATATTTGTTTGGCGAGACCGCAAAATAATCAATCTTCATTAGGTGTCAACTAACTTGTAACTAACTACGTTGTACATAAAATATCAATAAGAAAAATATATATAACATTTTTTTACTATTTTATTTATTTAAATAAGTAATTACTTTATTTAAACACATTTATTTCCATATTCTGCTGTAGGTGTTCTTATATTGTCATATAGTCTGTAAGCACATTGTTTAATGATTAATAAATGATATGGAAATTACTTTCTTCATTTTATTTGTCCTGAATTCAAAAAAGTATTTGCAAAGTGCAGAAAAAACTGCATTAAAAGTAAATTTTTTATAAGGATATTTAAATAGGAGCTTGTTTAAAGAAAACCAACTCCCAATTACGTCTGCATGAATCCTACCTGACTTTAAAGCTAGCTTTAAGTTGGATTGTCATAGCTAATTAAAAGTGAGGTGTTAATCGAAATCTCGCAAAGAAGCTAACTACAAGCTGGTTATTTGTTATGAATTGATAATTTTTTTCTGCAGGGTATGTCTTTGGGATTTTAATTTTCCAGCTTTTTCCGATCCCGATTTTCGGGATATCGTTATTATAATCTCGGGATTAGTTCCGGGATTTGGATATTCATTACTTTTCAACAACTTAAATCGAAAAAATTGCATCTATTTTGTTTGAGAAGCTCTCCTACCATAAAATAAATAATAAATAAATGGGTTTTAAACCCACTTTTTATTTAAAGAGGCGTTTTTATTTTTTCTCTCTGAATTTTATTTTAAAGAACTTTGTAATTTCAAAGATATGATTAATTCCAAAAACTATTTCAAGAATTAAATGCAAAGTAGAATAAATGGGTACTAAATGCAAGAGGAAATTTCGGTAGAATTAAAAACAAAAATAAAATTGTTTGGATTCACAAGGCCGAATAGGTAATTTTTAAGCTGCTACTGTTAGAAGAACGAAATACGAGGATGTTACCAAGTTTATATAAGCCCTTAACATATAACTGTTTCAAAAACAAATATTGCGAAATTTCAAGGATAAAATTTTAAAATGACATTTTCAATATTTACCAGCCCTTCTGCACTATAAACTTGAATCTGTTTAAATTCTACAGGATTTCCTCATTCATTTTATACCGATACTTCTTCTCTAAGCACATTTCTCTGAATTTTTCAAATAATTTTTGAATTACTGACGTCGGAGAGAAAAACTAAAAACACAATTTTACTATATATGGCCCATGGTTTCGCGAATATATTGATATTTGTGTCTAAAATTTACTATCGCACGGTGTTATATGTAAAATGAGCTAGACATATATGTATAAAAAATATTAATTATTAAATAAAAAAAGAAATATAGCTAATACTAGTCAAGGAAAGGAGTTTCAATTATTTGCCAAGAATCCCGGGAGTTTTGGGACCTTAAAAAGGCCGGGATCCCGGGATTAACATTCCTAATATGTATGCGTGTATGCTAATACCTAAAGTTATATATGTACATATATACTTTTGCAAATGCCACGACACCCAAAAAACGACATGATCCAAATCTTTATTTATTTTTAAGAAAATACACTTTGTCGAATTCTCGAATTTAGGAGTAAATGTTATTGATTTTGTATATAGTAATAATAACCCTGTCGGGAATTTTGCAGTCGACCACTAAAATAGCCAACTTATTACGACTAACTTTTAATTGGCTTCAAAATCATGCAGGGCTCAATCGAGGGGATATGTATGTATGTAAAATTGTTTGACAATTTTCTCTTTCGAAAAAAAACTTGTGTTCCAAAAAAGAAAATTTAAAACAATTACATGTGTGTGTACATTTATTGCCATTGTGTTCTTTATTGAAAGCGAGAAAACATGAATTTTGGCTATTTTATTCCCTGTAGGAAACTCAACTAACTATAAATGCACTATAAGTCAAGAATGATAGAATACAAGAATGCGCATTCTTGCGGCTGATGACGTTAAGATAGCAACGAATAGGAAAGAGTAATTGGAGATGGAGGAGAGAAAGAGTGTTAACTGTCAAACCATGCAGGTCGCCATATCTATATACATGTAAACATCTCTGCATACATACAAACAGTTTGCTAAAATGACGTCACACTAACAACTTATTCTGTCAAATTCGCCAAGAACAAAGTAGCGGTACTGCTGATTGCGCCACCTCTGTCTCCCTACATCGTGACTATAAGTTATAGTTATTTTTCAACTAGGGGTGACTTCGCTTCGACTACTTTACGATACATTCAACTGACTACTTTTACGTGATGATGTCGCAAAAAAAGTAAGTTTGTTTTCAGCTAACTACAAACCGGTTTCTAATAAGTTAAAATTGGCGTGCAAATATGTTAGCGTTAGGCCGAGCTTCTCCTCCGATTTGTGGTGTGCGCCTTGATGTTGTCACACAAAGCGGAGAAGCTGTTTTTCATGGCAGAAATACACTTGGGGGTTTGCCATTGCCTGCCGAGGGGTGGCCGCTGTTAAGAAAAGAAATGTTTCTATATTTTTTGCGATGTTGCTTTGACCAGGGCTTGAACCCAGGCCTTGCGGAGCGGTAGCGAACGTTGCTAACCACTACACCACAAAAAGAGTTATTTTTCCAATTGTTCCCATGAAAATGCTGTAGATCTAAAAACTTCTGCTAAAACTGTATACCCTCCTCTTTGTATGACAACATATCTTACAAGACACGTCAGAGGTTAAAATACAAACTTCATATTGTGCACAGCGATGGTTCTCTGCAATAATGACACAACTAAAAACTAAAAAAAAACCTTACTGCTACTGTTCAGTGATTCATGTCTGTAATCCTGGTTTTATCCATGTCTAACCCGAACTAAATACTAGACATGGATTTGAGACATGAGGCCACAAACAGTAGTAATCTTTTTCTTTTTTTGCAGTCAGGTATTGCAAAGCACCATCGCGATGCATCGATACGTTAGTAAAATAAATTTTATGTTTTTTAAAACTTAAGAGTGTAGTTTTTTAATATTGTAAAAAATTAGCAATAAAATGTCCATATACATATTGCAAGAATGCAAAATCTTGTTCACTCAAAAAAAGTTGTCGTTAGGACGATGCTATTTAGCCATCAACGTGAAACTTTCGCGTAAATATCTATCTATTTTTCCTCATTAATCATCTTATATAAATGATAGCTTTCGTTGTTGCATTGAAACCAAAAAGACTATACTGGTCTCAATTTGTTATTGCTAGGGGTAAAACTGTGTGTTGAGATCTAATATCAATCCACGTTTTATATTAGGTATTAATTAATTATTGTATTGTTACCAAAAATTATATTGTTTAAAGTTTCATTTTAACACAACGCGTATTAAACCAATAGTGATACACTGTTTTTTGAGTGTATATACATATAATTACAAATATACACAGTTACAAATACAAATACTATAAATGCAAATTGTTCATTTTGGATTTTCATCTCCTTTTTCAGATATCAGTCGTTTGACTCGATCGCCATCGCCCCTGCAATATGCTGGTAAGTATTTGACAAGTTTCAGAGTGCCATCGAAAAATATACTTTTGTATGTATGTATGTGCCTGCGTATCTATGAATGTGAAGTAAAACGATAGCATAAATTTAAAAATTATATAAGAGCAATTTAATTTAAATCTATTAATTATATTCTAGCGTGTCTCAGTCCTTTATCCACAAAAGTGGCTATAACTTTTTTTATATTCCAAATAGTTAGTGGGGCACCTTTCTGAAATCTCCAATAACCCTGCTTTGATAACCCTACTGAAAATTGCTGGGAAGATAACCATACATCTATGAGACGTATCATGGGTTGCTTGCCCTGCTTTTATGATAAAGCGCTCAAAGTTTTTCATGTATTTTATATGGAAAAAAAACTTTTCGTAGAAATGGTATAAAGTTCTTGAAAATCAATATTTTTCGATCGGAAAACTGTGGTTCCACCACTGTATTTCCGCCACATATAGCCAAATTTCGGGAAGAAAATACGAAAAAGTTAAAAATCACAAAATTGTCCTAATTTTATAATAGAGCTTATACAACTGGAAAACTATCGATAGTCGTGGCCATCGATAGTTTCGATAGTACTATCGATAGTTTTGATAAAAAAGTCAAAAAGATGTTTTCGATAGTCAAAAACCATTGATACTATCGATAGTTTTCCAGCTCTAACAAATAAATTTTGGTCCCGAATAGCGACGGTTAAGGCATGTCGTACAGGGGGTAAAATTCAGATTCCTCTATGGAGACTCGAAGATATCCTATATAAATTTTGGCCCCGATTGAAGTTGGTTAAGGCGCGCCGCAGCTATGTACCACCGCTGTCAAACTATTTTTTCACGTATCCTATTATTATGGCGGTCACAGAGCTACACCACGACTTTGGTTGTGACCAGCTTAGATGTATTTATATATTTTTCGAGAAACAGATAAGGTTCTTCCTCTGCTTTTATGACAAACTCATACAAATGCATGATGTCGCTGAAGATAAAAATGAACAATTTACAGCTGTGGTCGTCTTTTTCAATGTGTTGAGACTATAAGAATTCACAAATATTTTTAAAACATAATACAAAAAAATCGCTCCGAGATTTACAAACATTTAAAAGATGTTTAACATACAGGCTTTTACATAAAGTATTTTACATAACTCAAAACGAAAACATGAAGTAAAACATGAAACCAGCAAATGTATCGCTAAACGATAGATAATTTTTACTTTTACAGTTTTATGAGTGGGTCACACGCGTATTTAAATGCAAAATGATAATTAGTTCTGTAAAGTTATTTTCTTTCCCCATTGGTATCTGCAGGTAAAAATTATCCAAGAACCTGATTTGTGGGACTGTAGGGGTTGTAGTCGAGCCGCCATATTGGGAAAAATTTGTGGTTTCTTTAAATAGCTATATTGCACACTCATACAAAAAGTTCTGTGTTGTCAAGGCAAATTGGAACGTGAAAGGGCCCTACAAATGTTTGGCCCTCTTAAGGTGCAGACACATACATATGTATGTATGTACATAAGCATATTTTTTGTTTTGTGCAATTGTAAGAAGGTTAAAAGTTCTAAATTTTTTTAGAAGTAAAAAATTAATATTAAAAACTTAAAATATTTAAATTACAAAAGCAGCAACGATGCATGGTATACTAATGTAAATATATAAACATGCATATACATACTCTGCTGTGGACATTTAAATACGTGCGTGGTAAATTTAAGTGTGAAAATATTATTTTTAAATACGAACACTTTTAAGCAAATATAAAGTACTCATTTTCACTATACATGCAAGTACTCTACCATGAACAATGAAAGAGATATGCAGCATGAAAAATTCGATTTGTATGGGAGGTGCCAAGCCCCCTTTTCCAATAGATAATATCTATTTTTTCCATGAGTATTTGATTGACTCATATTTATCCATACTAAGTTCTAGGACTTTACTATCAACACTTCCAAAGATATGCATTCGGTTTGTAATAGAGGTGCCACGGTCCCTTTATATATACAAAAGAAAGAAGAAAAAAGTTTTCAAAAAGTGAGCCATTACAAAAACTAATCTGGGCTGACATTTGCGTAATACGAAGCTTTGTCTGCGGATTTATGAGACAGTTAAAGAGGTATGCAGCGCTTTTGAAATTAACCTGGCAGAGTATGTATTGTAAACTAAGACAGCTACTTTATAATAATAGGGGACTCTGAGTGGTGGGCGAAAGGGAAGTAAACCGCTGAGAGGAATCGATTTTAATTTACGATTTTAATTTGGTTGATTTTTCAAGACAACTAATGCTTGATTTCCACTAGGCATTAAATGGTAAATGACAAAGTTGGGCATTAAAAAATAATCATGTCATTACGTTAAAAAGATAGCCATTAAGTTCATTTCCCCATGACATTTTTTTTAAATGGCATAAATTTTTTTGTCATTTCAATGCCTAGTGGAAATTCGGCATGACAATAAATTTTAAATTAGAATTAGTAAAAAAGTGTATGTAAAAACGAAACATACTCGAACGATGTTATGCATTTTAAAACATTTTTCATTGTAGATCTTGAGTTTCTATATTTTGCAATATAATTTTTGTATTTAATGTTTTGTTTTTTTTTTTACGGCAAAACACGAATTTCCGAAGCTTACCAATAATATCCAAGGTTAAGAACAACCCTTGTTTGCCAGAAAAAATTTCTATGTACATACAAATGTATGTATGTATATATATGTGATTGGATGTATGTAGAACAAGTGTTATGATGAATGCAAAGAGTACATTGCTACTTAAATCGCTGCCAAAAAGAAAAAAAAACATCTAAAATAACTGGGATAGAACAACACACCTAATTAGCATTAGCCGGTGCCAGCATATGCAGTCAGGCGTTGTTATATCTATTATGCATGCCTACATACTTACATACGTATGTATGTGCGAACTATATAAATATATATGAACATATGCACGTCTGAACTAAATTTTAACTTTATAAAATTTATAAGTAGTTTTCTTTCGCTCACTTTGGATTCCCTATTCTCTTCATCACCTCATCTCGTTTCGACGCCGCGAGGACAACAAAGCATGCTGATGTGTGATAAATTTACGATTTGTCTGTTCAATCCGCACCATATGAAAATGGTAAACAGACCTTCTGTCGTTGGAAAACATCTGCTTTAATACACACTACATAGTTATTGGGCGAGAAACAGACTTTGTGAAGGTTCAAATAAAATCGAAATGAATCAATTTTTGTAACTCATATTGTTTTCGACAATGAATGGATATAGATATATACATATGTATATGTATTGTACCCACATATGTACATATGTGCATACTAATTTTATAGTATTAGTTTTGTGTGCAACACACGCAGATGTGCATACATACTTTTGAGTATTTACTGACTTTTCAACCCTTGCTTAGAGTACCTAATACAAGGCACACGCGAGTATTCATACATTGTTATAAATACGTTTACAAACAAACACAATTTTAAAGCTGGGAAAGGGTATATTGGCTGGACTCTTATTTACCGGCTCTATTAATGTCGTAAGAGCCACGCGTCTTTCGCACTTTCCATTTCCAATCGCTCCCAAAAGTAATGTTACACCAATGTCTTTACTTAATTTGACTTTAAGAAGGTTTCAATATAACGCGCATATATACATACTAGGGTTGCCAAAATATCAGGAAAATTGGGATCCCGGGATTTCGGGATATTTTTTAGGTAATCCCGGGATCCCGGGATTTATCCCGGGATTCAAATTGAGTCATAAATTTTATGAATATGAGTAAAAATTCAATATCTGAAAGCATTTAAACATACCATGAAATAAAACTATTTAAAATTTACGATAAACTGATTGTAAAACTCATATATGTATCACTAACTTAGAGTGAAAAGTTTCTAACTTGACTTTTAATGAAAAATCATATTTTGATATAGGAAGCTAGATAAATTAATATTGCATCGTTTCGAAAAGGATAAAGGTCCTTGTTTTATGTTTTCTCGTTTATATTCAATGAAAGGAAAATTTGTTAAGGCCAAAAAAAGCTCCAAAAATTCGATAAGGCCAAAAAAGCTCGAAATCTTTTAATAAAGATCGAATCCCTCAGATTCGTATGGAACTTTGCTTTCTTTAAACAGGCAAAATGTTGTATTCAAAGTTTTGCGAAATACTCGAAGAAAATGGCTATACGAAGTTTTTTCCTCTCCTGTATAATTTTTAAATTGGGACTTAGCAACCTTGCACTCTACGCTAGCGATATTTATTAAATCAGACAAATTTTAAAGTAAAACATTTTTTTTAATTGTATCTAAAAACTATGTGATTGAGGAACGTATACATCACAAATAATAATTTTTTAAATACCAGGTACTTTTGAAAGTAACGATAAATAAAAAAAAAAACATAAAACAAAAATATACAAAAACAATTTCTCTAAACATGTCTATTCTACTGTATAAAGAAATGACGAATGGAGAATTTTTTGCCATTTTTTTCGCAATTTACTAGAAATTTTGAGGGTGTACGAGTCAAACGGATCTCATAATCGGATTCAGCGGGTCGAAATACATGTTGGTAGGTGGGTCTGGTTAAAAACACTGTCTGGTGGGCTGAACTGCCAAAAGGTAGACATAATCCATTTGAAGATAATGACCCCTATCTCCTCCATTACAAAATATTTGAACTTATTTTACCAGCACGTTTCTCTTTTTTCGATTTGAGGAAGTTTTGAGTAGATTGATCTAAAAAAATATCTAACTTTTCCTTAAAAATCTCTGTTTCGTTTACATTAGCGACGCTATGCGTAAATTCATTGAAATCTTCTTCAAAAAAGGCTCAGACTGCAATTTAAAAGTNGGGAAAGGGTATATTGGCTGGACTCTTATTTACCGGCTCTATTAATGTCGTAAGAGCCACGCGTCTTTCGCACTTTCCATTTCCAATCGCTCCCAAAAGTAATGTTACACCAATGTCTTTACTTAATTTGACTTTAAGAAGGTT